ATATATATATATATATATATATATATATAATGTATATATATGTATATGTGTGGAATGAGTCAGACCATCATGTTAAAGGAGCTGTGTGTGCAGAAATGAGACACAAACTTCAGAAACTGAAGCAACGGTTTCTTAAGGAAAATATTTCTCCAAAAGAACAACAAATTGAATAATTTTTTTGGATGTATTGCAAAAAGCTGTAGAATTTACTACAATGAAGCTAAAGTCGTATTAAAGCGTGTCACCTTATCATCCGACAGGCACGTGGTGGATAAGTCCTGTCTGCTTCCTGACAGCTGAAACAATAAAAAAAACAGTGACCTCAGACAAATCATTCTGGATTTCAATATAATATTGAAAGTTTTTATGATATATTTTACCCTGTGAACAGAGGGAGAGCTTATGCTCCTCCTGTTACTTCTTCCTCTGCCAGACAGATGCTCCTTCACTGCCACTTCCTGAAACCCACACACAGTAAAGTAAGTGAAAATCAAACATAAAAAAAAAACGTTTATGAAAAATAATACATGACTCAACGTGGATCTTTTTATCAGTGTGTTTAATATTCATTTATCAGCTTTATCAATAGTTTTAGGAGTTTCTCCCTCTACCTGTCTGAGTCTATCCAGAGTTAGGATGTTCTCCAGGCTCATTACGCTGCGGAGATATTTTTCAATGGCCGCCTCGTCGTCAGCTGACTGGCTGTTGTGTGCGTTTGCAGCAAGCCGGGCCAGCATCTCCCTGTCCTCCGAATCTGGAGTGTCCTGATTTAAAGAAACATTATGAAGATGAGCGTTTACACAACTCCAGAAAACTAAAGCATGTTTGAATCCAACCTTACCTCAGGGATGTTGGAGACCACCTCAAAGGTGACGCCTGAGCCCGGTATGGTGCTGCGGGTCGACATCCTTCTGAGAAAGTTGTGTGCAAAGCCCTGGCGGCCCGGGTTAACGTTGACGCAGATTCTTTTTCTCAGCACCAGCTGCATGTCAGCGGGGTGACTGAGCTGAACGACCACTCGAATCGTCAGGTAGACGCGCTGCTCGGGCCACAGCCCCCCTCGACTGAGCCAGGGACACTCATGGACAGTAGAGTCCCATGATGCCTCTGCTTTCACCTGCGAGTCCACAAGAATCATTACTACAAGTCTGAGTGGAAAGTTTGGGTTTTGAGCGTGTGTCTAATGAAGAGCTGCTCTTCACCTCTCCATCGTAGTGTTTGACGATCTGCAAGTCGAAGAAGTCGTCCTCATCTTCTCCACTCAACGTGGCGTCCAAGCCTCCAGCCTCAGGCATCTCAAACTGGTCTTGAGAGCTGAGGTCATCAGCTGGGGTAGCGACAAAAGATCAAAAAAATTATACTGTGGGTAGATAACATGTAAACGTACATTAAACCACTTAGTAAACACTTTGTTACGTTTGAGGTCCAGGAAGAGAACGGGGATGTGCGTCTCCATGCCTGGCAGAGGCGACCTGCAAACACAGACAGTTTCTTAAAAAGTCAGTTTGGTTGCTGCATCTCTGTGCATCCAAATGGTATAAATTATGCAAATGAAAATAAATATAACATTTTAAATGAGTCAAACCATTCGGCAGGCGCTCCAGGAATTCCACTGCCAGCAGAGGGAACCATCACAGCATTTCTCTCCTCTGTGAGAGTCAAGCGCCACTCCAGCAGCTGGGCCTCCCGCTCCATGTCATCCTCTGTCTTTTCTGAATATAATACTTACTTCATGAACAACTCTCATACTAAATACAAAGTATGCACTGAAAAATTGGTCTGACATCAATATCAGCTGATATTCAGTGTGTCAAATTCCATCAGCTGATATTTATCTAGTGTTTCCTGGTTGTTTTACTGACTCTGTGCTGAAAAGATAACTTTAAAAAATTATGTAAAGTTTAACAGGTTAAAAGGTATTTTGAAACATTTTATATTTTTATAAAATGTTTCAAATATCATGTTGCATGATATTTTATAGACTAGTTATATAAAAAACAACAGTAGAAAGTTTTTGACACGTTGAAATAAATGAGTTTTTAATCCATTAAAAACGGTACAATTAGGCCTGTCACGATAACAAATTTTGCTGGGCCATTATTTGTCTCAGAAATTATTGCAATAAACGATAATATTATTTGAAATGTGACAATAATTAGTAATTATTGTGAAATTTAAGAAGAAATGTTGATTAATTTTTTGTGTAGTACCTTTTTTGACCACTGGATGGCAGTATAAGACTGAACTGAAGGATGGATAGTGAGGGAGTGAGCAGCCTGTCTCTAAGAAAAATGGGAGGGAGGCCCCTTGATGTGACATGGGCTGTCTCTCCTTCCTGTTTTTCGGTTCTCAAAATGGCGGACGCTCGGTGTGGTTTGAGCGCATCAGCATAGCATTTGTCACAAAGCTTTTAATAAAAATGTTGTAAACAAGTTCTCAGCTTCTTTTTGCAGAGAAAAACAACTTTTTAGATGAAGGCACAGGTTTCAACCGTGAATTTTGGAGCTTCAACAGTCCCCCCCCCCCCCCCCCCCAAGGTCGGCCTGTTAGCTTAGCTCGTAGCTTAGATTCTCAGCGTAGCTGCTTTTAACGATCCAAAATTGCAATTTTAAAGAGAAAAGAGAAACGGAGGGGTCAGTGAAGAGCACCGGAGTTGAGCCTTTTGTCAACCAGTGTCTTCAGTAGAAAGAGAGACGCAAAGAAACGATAAAGCTGATAAATGAAAATGAGGTCGACAATTTTCATTTATCATGCGATTAATTGATTTATTGTTTATCGCAACAGGCCTAGGTGCAATGAAGGACTGAAACATTTAAAGCTGCTTCACTCTTTTTAACAACAACAATAATAATTTCCCTGATATAAAAAGGGAAATGTCACAACAAATACTGACAATCTGCCATCAACCAAGACTGGAAACTGGTGCCTCTCTCTTAAAAGAAACAACTAAATTTAGCTGTCCTGATTCTGTTGACAAACTATGCAATACTCCTCTGTTTCAAGGTAGAAGCAGTGATGGTATAAATAATTGTCTGTTTTTGTTTTACCTGCTTTGCTGACCAGGTTCTGCAGTTGTTGATCGAGGTACTCCTGCCTCTTGGTGAGGGCAGCTAACCACTGGCGCCGCAAACGCTCCAGATCTCTCTCCTGTCCAACAAACCTTTCAGTTAATTACTGCACCTTCCATCCAAAACATCAAAATAGAAGAAAACAGTTCAGTTGTACTGAGCTGCTCCACCTGATAGCTGTCCATCTCATCTCTTTCATGGTTTGTCGAGCTGGTTCTGATCTCCACACAGCCTACAGACACTGCTAGCACGATCTCTGCTATCAGCGGCATCGTGCCCGAGTCCTGAACTGAACGCACGTCCACCTGGATTCGCCGCGACTGACCCTGGAGATGAGGAGAGGGAATAGACATTTAAAGAGATCTGAAGATTAAAAAGCTTGTATTCCAGCAAAAACCTAGAAGTTTCCTCTGCTTGCTCACAGGCTGGTTGTGAGGATGCGGGCCCTCATTCTTACCTGCCGAAGTTGAAAGATCCCCCCAGTGTGAACGTCTTTAGCTGGAACCACTTCCACTGGCACAAAGTCTCCATTCTCATTTATCTCCAGGATTTGGATCCATAACTCCAGGCGACGTGTGACCTCACTCCACCTGCAAAAAAACAATTTCACGTGGATGTGCCAAGAGTCAAATATGACTGAGAGTGTGCACGTGTATGTGTATACCTGTCTCGTAGTGTGCGTGTTTTGGCCTGGATGATGCTGAGGTCCCACAAAGCTGGGTTCCTCCCTCCATCAGATTGTTTGTGTCCATACACCTCAATAGCAACAGCTCCTTCTGTCAGGTACTCGATAAAATCCTCAGTTACTGACACTGCCAGTTCCTGAAGTCCCCACAAGGCATCGTATCAGTTACTACAACCCATTGTTAGGAAAATATTTGTGCACAAACACATGAAAGGTTTATTATCCTGTGGCATGTTTACCTTGCAGCTGTCAAACACAACCATGCAGTGTGGGTCCTTGGTGCTGGGAGACGAAGACGAATGATCAACTTCAGGGGCCACAATGATGGGCTCAGGCTGGTCCCAGAAAATATACTGACAGAAGACAAAGTTGGACAGGTGCTGAGGAAGACCAGTGGCTTGCAGGATCTTAATCTGCAAAGAAAACACAAACCACATGTCAGTTCAGAGGAATATGACACAATCAGGGCTCCTGGAAAGAAAAACACACCCAAAACAATTTTTTTTTTAAAACAGACTCATCATCAGTTCTCAAAAAAATTATGTTGTTTACCATGCAGGCCAGTTTGCGATCTTCCATTTCAGACTCGTGGTTGTTGTCAAGATCATCTCCTCCTGCCATGTTGTCCTCTAATCCACCTCCAACTCTCATCACCTCCACATGCAGCCGCCCAGCGACCTAATTACAAGGAAGAGGGAAAAGCTGCTGTGATCCTAATCTTAAACCAAAAACAAGAGCCCGAGTGTAAAATTAAGTTTGTGCTACAGTTTTCACTTTCTGGAGTTCCACAGTCATTTAGCTGAAACATTTTTTTAGGGATGCACAATATTATCGACATGGTATCAGTATCGGCTGATATTAACAATAAAGTTAAATATTGGACCTCCACCACTCCATCAAAATAACTCACCAATATAAAAGGCACTGTTTTTGTACGACAACCCAGTGACAAGGATGCCTGCAGCACCAGCACAACGTTATGTCACGCACGCCTACCTGATCTGATCACGGCGGGAGAGGAAGAAGTGAAAATGTCGGCCGTGTGGACGTTTTTTAAAGCGTCGTAAACTGTTAGCAGAACTGCTATTTGCAATGACTGCTCAGCATCAGTGATGCGAGGAGGAGCGAAAACGAAGTCCTACAACACTTCGAACTTAATTAACCATCTCAAGAACCACCATTACGATGAGTTCATGGTGGCCAGAAAGGAAAGCGAGAGAGCAGTCAACCGCGGAGAAACAAAACCTCACCAGCAATCCATTCTACAAGCTTTGGACAAAGCAAGGAAATACAGCCACGACCAGCAGAGGGCAAAATGCATCACTCTCATAGTAAACTGATGGAGTGCATTGCTCTGGATGTTGTCATTGTGTTAGAGAGTAAATGTCATGAATAAATTTAACATTAAACATAATCCAAGTTGAAGTGTTACATCATTTTCAGCCCCTTTTTTATTGGCATATCAGATATTGGCCAAAAATCCAATATCGTGCATCTCTAAAAAATTTTTCCTCCTTATTTTGTCAAAGTTGAACAACGTGACATGAACAACGGGCTGGAGATAGCCAGAGCACACAAAATCCAGAGACTTGCTGCTCACATTACTTTATAATTATTTAAATGTTTGTTTTCTTTGCCTAAAAAAGATGGAGTGTGGTAAGAACAGTTAATAAATACTGTGATTCTACCTCTCCTTTTTGATTGATGATAGGAACAGCGTACTGCAGCTTGACGTCATAAAACAGACACGAAAGGAAGACGTTAGCGACACCAATCAGGCTGTGGTTCTCCTGCTCGTCAAAAAACGGGTCTGCTCGACGGAAATATGACCGCATCCCCTGGAGAAGGAGGGAAGGAAATGTTGAACAAGTTCTTGTAAAAAAGCAAGTTTTGATTCCATGAGCTGTTTATAAAACACAGCAGACTTGCTGGTCTGACTCACCGGGTTGTCTTGATTGTGGAGCTGGTAGTCCTGCCACTCCTGGTAGAGCTCTCTCATGTCAACAAGGCGGTTCTCCATCTTTTCCAAACTCCAGATCTGTTTCCCTCTGCACCGTCTTCGGACCTGAATTGCAGGTTCACTGAGTACTGCATCCCTCTACACACACAGAAGTATTTAAGTTTTGAGCTTAAAGAAAAACAGACACCAGCAAAGTCACACAGGGAGCTCATTTTTGTGTGCGGGACCTTGCGGTTTGCGTTGAGGTTATCTGATGGGATTTGCAGGGTGACTCTGTACTCTGTGTGACGCTCCAGCTCCTCTGAGATATAACACGCCTCCTGCACCAGAAGGTTTGCTCTCACTATTTGCTCCCGCAGCCTCCGAAGACTCCTCACCAACACTGCCTCCCTACAGAATGACAGGAGGTGGTAGAAAACGGTGCAGACAAAGGAGGGATGGGAAAATGTCAAACTTTCATTTGTTAAATCCAATGGTTCCCAACCCTGGTCCCTGAGGAACACCATCCTGCATGTTTTAGTTGTTCCTCTGCTTCAATACACTGATTTGAATGGAAGGATGATTACCGGTAATAGGCTTTGCCGAACTTAAGGAAGTAACCACTGAATCAGGTGTGTTGGAGCAGAGAAACAACTAAAACATGCAGTATGGTGTTCCTCAAGGACCAGGGTTGGGAACCACTGGGCAACATGAACATACACAATTTGCTCACCGGTCTTCACTCCACTGCTTCAATCTGCCCTGAGCACTCATCCCTCCTATGCTGAGTCGCTCCAGGCTGCGGTAGTGAGACTGCTGTCCTGGTCCTTGCTGTCCAGATGTCTGTCCTCCAGACTGGCCTGTGGACAGACGGTCCAGATTGAGCTTCTTGCGGAGCTGCATGAGCTCCTGCTCATACATTTGCCTCTGTCGCTCCAGGGCAGAGCGCTTCTCTTCTTCATGCTGCCTCTCCAGAGACTGGAGGACCGCCTGCATGGGGTCTGGCCAAACACGACAGAGAAGAGTCAGAAAGCTAGAGCACAAAATCAGAGACTTCATGTTCTTCCTTAAAGATGATCAACGGTATGTTCTCCTAAAATATCTCACCATTGTTGCCCAGAGCCTTCATCATAACTTCCGTCTGGGCAAACTCATAAGAGAAGCTGACTTCACTGGACACTTCACTAGCGGTGTCTCCATCTGCATCCAGCTGCTCACTGCTGCCACTGTTCTTCATCCCGCCACCTTCACCATCCTCATCCTCTGCACCACGTGACCGTCGCTTTGGCAGATTGATTCTTGAAGCGGGATAAACAAACGTTAGAGACTGTTACAACAGAGGAATTTTCAGCAATTTAAAAAAACAAAAGACACAAAACAAGCTGAAATTTTAAAAAGTATATAAATAATGGAAAAATATTTCAAACTTTAAATCCAAACGTCACAATACATTAAAAAACATTTTTCATCTGATTATTGGCAGCTATTAATGATAACTTTCAATATAAGGAGCACAGTTAAAACTATACAACTGTAAAGATTTTGGAGTTACCTAAAGAAGTGATTATTTCCCCAGAGGATTCGGTCCCCATGATGAAGTTGCAGAGCGCTGGTTACTGGAGAACCATTAACACACGTCCTACAGCACCAACAAAGCAGTGACTTTAGCTAATGGCAGCTTCATTTCTATTTTAAATTTAAAACAAGTTATTGGAATGAATGCATCAATTTGTCATATTCAGGATGAAATACATAAAAAAAATCATTATTTATTTAACTAATAAAAACATTGAATTTATCTTAAATCTCTATCAAAAGCAAAAAAGCAACAACATGGTTACAACGCAAATTGTGAGGATTTTTTTGAAGGACTTGAAAGACTAATTGTGACATGACTATGCAATAATTAAATTACAGCATAAATATCAAAACACTCGTTTCACCTTAAATTTATTTGACACTTTCTACCATTTAAACACTATCAAGATGGTTTGTCTCAACACAACCCTAAAAAATGACACATCATCAAATCACACAGTAAGCAGGATTTTGATCAGAACTGGTCAATTTTAAACTCATACCATGTTCTCTTAAAAATCTATAGCAGAAGCAAAATAAACACAATTACTGAACCATTTATTTTAGTGAAAACCCTGGAGCTATGGTTGTTCTGTTAAAGGACTTACACTGAGAAATTGCTCTTTTTTAGCTCATGAACCTGGTTATCATGGTGTTCCTTACCGAGCGTTGGGATAGGGGGTGAGGACGACAGCAGCCTCGTCCGTAATGTCAATGACGCAGTGCTCAGCCTGGATACCCATCCCGCACAGCTGAATGTCCTGGGAGTCCACTGAGCCCACCTTTGTGTGTTCCTACAACACAGCATTCAAGATGTCATGGTGCGTCACCAGCTGCAGCACACAAACATCCTGCCTGAGCCGTGTTCATCGGAGACACGTTTGTTGTATAAGATAATACTTCAACAAAGAAGAATCCGTCCAGAAGACCGTTAGAGGTAATCCAAATAATTTTCTACAAATACACACTGTTGGGTAAATTAACAAACTTGACTGAGCAGGTTTTCAGAGTTAAACTTCCGTTTCTTTCACGTAAACTGCTCAGATGTGTAAACATTTAGTCTTGGAGGCTTATTCAAAAGAAATATTAGATACAGATAGATAGATCTTTATATATATATATGGATATATATATATATATATATATATATATATATTATATATATATATATTATATATATATATAGTTAGATTGTTAAGTCTTGGTGAGAAAAATATATGGTGTCTGTACCTTCAGGTAGTACACAAGCAGTTCATTAAGGGCAGGATCAGCGTTAAGGTTCACCAGAAAACTTTTATCATCACCGACTTTGATCCCAGAAGACTGAAGAGAAATACCCAGACTCTCCAGCTGCTTCTGACGTTCCTAAAGGCCACACAAAGAAAAGAGCATCATATCCACACAGTGTTGATTTTTAAACAGCAGAGCAACATGTTTGATTTGCTCATTACTCACCTGTGCAATCTCCTCTGTTTTGCGAAGTTTCTCCTCCCATGTGACGGTCATTTCTTGGATTAACTTTTCAGACTCTTCCAGGCGTTCTTTCAGTTCTGGAGCTTTCAGAGACTGCAGAACAGACAACAAGTTAGAACAGCTGATGTTTAAAGAAGGTGGTCTTAGAGATAGTTGCAGCCATCTCACCTCAGCCTGGGTCAGCTGCACTCGGAGCTTCTCCACTTCCTCCCTGAGCTCCCTGATGATGCGAGCATTTGGGTCTTCATTAACGACAGCGTGGTTAACGATGCTTTTGGCTCGGTCAGCATAGCGCAGCGTCGACAGGGTCTCCTCATAGTTGTCTGCTGCTGGACTCACAGTTGCAACCATGGCTGTGCGGCTATTGCCCCCCAGGCAGTCCTGGAATCAAGAGGGCATAAAGAGATGAAGAGACTTTCATTCAGAACTTTATACGAAAAACAGTGCATGCAGCAGAATAAAAGTGTGAATGTTTATGAAGCATTCACACTATTGTGATCCATTTTTCTTCCGTACGTTTTTCAGCATCTTTCTCGTTACATAGTTTTCAAGCTATTTCAACAAATCATAAATCAATACGTTCAGCTCTTTCAGGACAATCCTGCTATAACTTTTGGTAATAGGTGCAACTTTAGCTTTTTGACAAATTTAGTCTTTTCTACCATTTTTTTTCCTCATAGAAAATGAAATGAGATCATTTTGCATCCTTCATATCTTTAGATCTGTTTACAACAGATTATCGTTAACTATGTTTTTTGAGTGGCGCAAGTTGTATTTTTACTCTCTTTAATCTGATTTAACTGTAAAGCACTTTGGTCAGCTTTTGTTGTTTTCATGTGTTATAGAAATAAATTGACATTGACAACTTTTTACTGCTCCTTTCACATTTTGTTCTGGTTCAGCTTCCTTGTGCAAATTTAAACTTATTTTCAGCTGTTTATTCCAGCTGTTTTGTGATCCTTTTAGATTATTTCTGCTAACTACAACATTTTTGTTCATCTACCTTCTTTCTGCTAATTTCAGCTTGTTATGCTCCTTTCAGCTTATTTCTGCAAGTTTCAACTTTTTCTACTATTTCAGCTACTATTTAGCTGTTTTATGATTTTTTTTAGCTTTTTCTGCTAATTCCACATTTTTTGCACTCATTCCAACTTTTTTCATCCTAATTCAGCAAAAATGTTCTACTTCCTTCTGGTAATTTTAGTTTCTTTATGACTTTTTAGCTACTTTTCAGCTGGTTTTTTTTGTTGTTGCTAATTTCAGCCTTTTTCAGATAATTTCCACATTTTTGTGCTAATTTCTGCTTTTTTCAACCTAATTGGGTAAGCTTGAGTTCTTTCTGCCTTCTTCTGCTAATTTAAGCTTGTTCTACCTTTTCAGATAGCTTTTTAGCATTTTTAAGCCAATTTCAGCAGTTTTCCAATAAATTCACGTTTTTCGTGGTCATTTCTGCTCATTTCAGCCTATGAACTTAGTTCTGTTAATTTCAGCTTGTTATGCTCCTTTAAAGCTTTTTTCTGTTAGTTTCAGCTTTTTATGCTATTTCAACTACTATTTAGCTGTTTTTATGCTAATGTTAGCTTTTTCAACTAATTTCACATTTTTGGAGCTCATTTCAGCTCTTTCCACTTCCTTCTGGTAGTTTAAGCTTCTTTCTGCCTTTTCAGCTACTTCTCAGCTGTTTTGTTGCTAATTTCGGCTTGTTTAGCTAATTTCCCAAATTTTGTGCTAATTTCTGTTTATTTAAACCTAACTAAACAAATTTGTGTTCTTTCTGCTTTCATCTGCTAATTTAGGCCTGTTCTTCCATTTCAGCTACAATGTTGCATGTTGTTTTAAGCAAATTTCGGCTTTTTTTTCTGCATGTTCTTCAGCAATAAGCATTCACACTGCATTTTCACAGGAAATGCAATTTCTCTAATTAAACAAATTGTGGTTGGTTGGGTGAATGTTTCTGTTTACTGGGTTTACCTTCAGCAGCCAAGTCAGAACGGAGTCTCTGTAGGGAACAAACTTGGTCTTGTTCTTGGCAGTTCCCTGTTCAGCCAGCGCAGAGATCACCAGACCAAGTGTAGTAAGGGACCTGGCAAAACAACACAGACACAGTAACTTGACTTTTTTCACCTCCTTTTTAGTTTACCTAGTTATGACAGTTTTCCCATTGTACCCAACATTTGTGTCATACAATTTTGAGTGAGAGAACGCTTGATTTATGTGAAACATTACGTTTTCTTTTGACATACAAGTCAACTAAATTCTATTCACTCGTTAAAATAAATAAATAAATAAATAAATAAATAAAATCACTGAGGAAAAAGGAAGCGACACCGTCAGGATGAAAACATCTATTGCTCATTGTCTCAAAACCAGTAACTGTGAAAAACAAGAAAATGTGCTGAGAGTTTTGCGCACTTGTTAATGTTGCTCCCCTCCTTCAGTCGCTCTCCTGCTGCCCCGGTTTTCGCTGCTCGCTCACTTCCAGCCAAGTCCACCAGACTTAACCGACTCACCTTCTCCCCACTCGTCTGCAGAAACAAGCAAAATCAGAGTCAAGAGAGTGAAAACAAAGTAAATTTGATCCTTAGTTTAGTTCTAGGGGTGGCTTGGCCCAGTGGGTATTATGGGCGCCCTCTTATCATAAGGTTGGGGGTTTGGTCCCCAGTTCCTGCAGCGTGCTGAAGTGTCCTTGGGCCAGACACTCTACACCCTCTGCACACGGATATGCTCATCAGTGTATGAGTGAGAATATAAAAAAGTGCTGTATATAGTGTGTAAAAATACATTAAAAAAATGGACGCAGTGAATGAGTCAGTGTATGAACGGGGTAATAAGAAATTCTGTAAAGTGCTTTGCAGAATGTGGAGGTTAAAAAGGTGCTATAGCATATGAGTTGTGGACCATTTATAAAATGCAAAGGGACTTCTTGATATGATTATAGCTGTTTAGTCATTTATTATTCGGAGAAGGGACTTGGTCATAAACGTGAGGTACAAGCTTTAATTCAGTTCTGCTAAGAGTCTCTTCTGTTTTTTATTGAAACCCTACAAAGCAGTAAAGGAATAATCAGCCTGAGTCTCATCCTGACAGCTTTCGTCTGTGTCTTTCTTTGAACTGTTTCAGGAGATATCATGTCCTCATGTGAGACAGCTCAGCAGCTGACAGGACTGAACCTGATACCTGACCAACACCTGTGGTGAAACCAAAGCAGCGCGTCAGCATACATCCGTACACGTTCAACTCTTCCTGTGGATTTATACACCACTGGATTTTAGTAGAAATTTAAAAAAAAAATTTTTTTAGACAAAACCCACTGAATTCATCATCAACAAACCTCCAGTGTGAAAAGCCTGACGCCTGCAGAAGTAACTATAAACGAAACTGACGGTTTTCCAATGAGGTGTCAGATGCTGATCACAGACCCAGCAGACATAACAGCAATATTTTATCACAACAGTTTAATCCTCAGACACTCACTCCTCCATCATTGGACTCTACATTTTTCTGTGTGGTCCTCCAGTAATGTAACCATGTACTTTTATATATGAAGCAAAGCTTCAACTGGCCTTTAACAGAGGTCTCCATGACACTCAACTTAAAGGTGACCTTGTTTTTAAGAGAATGCTTTCGCTGGCATCAAGTTCTCAACCATGTGAGCTCACCTCACGCTGAAAACTTCAAAGAGAACACTGACAGAACAACTTCTAAAAATACACAGCACAAAGATGCACGATGAAAACCAACAGCAGGCTGCAGCGATGCGGTTCATTTTTCATTCAACCTTTATTTAGACAGGTAAATCCCATTGAGCCTCGAGGACTCATTTACAAGAGAGACCTGATTTCAACAAAGAATGATGACAACAATGGACAACAGCAACAACAATGGACAGTTATAAAAAGGCATACAGATTTTTTTTTTACAAATTCTGTCAGGTTCAGGTTCAGTCTCAGATGTGCATTAGCTGCATGTTCAAATGTTTGACCAACCAACTTAGTCCATGACTGGTTGGACACGTTGAAAACAGAGCAGGCTGTATCAGCTGACAAACTCAGAGTCATGTCCTTCAATTATTAACAGGATATGGAGGTAGCAAGAAACAAGAGCAGGGAGCAGGGAGTGTAAACTGGGTCAGTGAGGAAGAAGAAATTACTCATTGAAGTTTTTCCTGAGGAGGGCCTGGCAACCCTGCTGAGCTGGCATCACCACCTTCGGTAACTCCCTTTGCTCTGGCTGCAGAGGCTGTTTGAGCACAAACCCATCAGCAGCCGTGACCCTGGTTTAAGTGCACAAAATAACACTAAAAGCATTAACACACAAGGATTAAATATAGGACTAAAAATGATCTTTTGCCATTAATATTCTCGTGAATTTTCCGCTGTCAGCTGAAGACTTTTTGAAGAAAATTCATGCGTGCTTGCTTTAACTGCAAACAGAAAGACCTAAACTGGAGCATGATTTGCTTTCCAGACAAACTACGGATAGAGTCACAAAACAAATAATTGCACTGTGAGGAGCATCTGGCTCCATGTGAAGTGAGAAAAAGCCTGACTGGTTGCGATAGGAGCTCTGCAGAGACCAAGCATCAAAGCAGCCACGTGCACAACTAATCAAGTGATCATAAATCTGCAGGAAAATTCAAACTTTGTTATTACTCCAAAGCATTATTCTAAAAATGTTTACACAGTTATGTGGCCCAAGCACATACAAGACTACTGAGTGAGGAGGATTTGAACATATAGAGCAGAACGAGTCGGGTTTGGAGCAATCCCCAGTGCCTCAGTCTCCGACAAATCCCAGCAGATAGTGGAATCTTAGCACCCATGCACAATGTTTGATTTAAATCTCATCTACAGCTGATGCACAACTACAAGCAGGACTTTTATTTAACGTTTTCTTCTTTTCTTCTGTTCTTCGATTATAAAATCTCACACAGCAACTTTAAAATGTGTCTTTTTTGACAGGTATCTACAGTGTAAGCTTTTCTTTAGCAGAGTTCAAACGTCCCAGATTAAAGTGTTACTTTTCTGAGAAGTTATGTGTGTGTGTGTGTGTTTACATCTTACCCCAGACTGCAGGTCTTTGAGCGTGTGTGTGAGGATGATGTTAAAGACAGCGTGTGATCGACTGCTCTCCTCGTTCATATTGGTGGCAGCAACAGTACGAGACTTATTCCCTTCCGACATCAGAGACTCAATGTCCTGATTAAAACAAACAAATTTATGCTATTAACACAACAGCATTACCAGCATTAAACAGGAATCCTTCAGTATTACTTTTGTAAAACATACACTTTAGGAATATTATCAGTCTTTCCCTCAGAATCAGGTCAATCTTGTGGTGATGCAGTGGGAACAAAAGATTTTTTAACATATTTTGCCTCTTTCGTTCCTGTTCACATTCTTGTCGCATTCACTAAACAGACAAAGTTTGTTATCAGAAGGTAATTTTCATAGGACTCTAATTTTTGAAGTGCAGCCTATTCACATGCCTTAAAATGAGAATATAGGATAGAGGTCTCAAATTCTTTAGCATAACTGACCTGTTTTACTTGCAAAACATGATTTAGTTGCAACCAGTGCAGAAACCTAGAAACTATAAGCAATTTGTCAATGTTCTCGTGGCTAATGTTTGACTTTAAGAATGCTAACGTGTTGTTTCCAGATATTTTTGAGCTCACGGTGTCATTTACTGAGGTCCAGTGGACAATTCATCAGGAAAATTCACAATCTGGGCACAGATTATTTGAATGCATTTTGTAGGTTATCTGCAGCTGGTGCAGCGGCAGCAGGAAGAAGATGCTGCAAACCAATAGTGCTGCGTGCAGTGCCATTAAATAACACGCAAGAGTGTATGGGAGAGACATAAAAAGTGCTGCTGTAGAGCAGTCTACTTTACAAGTACCTGGAAAGTATTATTTATTTTAAGTACTTACAAATTTAAGTACTTACAAATCTGGTTCAATCTGGTCCAGATTTGTAAATTCAATCTGGTCCTCTGGACCAGATTGAACTTTTCTGGATTTTTCTACCTGGATTATTGAGCATGTATCAAGATGTTAGGTTCATTTAGTTTACAAACTGGCCTGACCAGTAATTTACATTGTTTAGGGGAACCTGAACACAACAATGCCAACTTTTAGATGTGCTAAGAAGTTTATATAGTTATTTATTGTGTGAATGCTTATTAAGCATTCACACTATTGTGATCCTGTTTATATTTATTATTATTATTATTTTAGTTTCCTTAAACTATTCCGTATTTTTTTCAGCATCTTTCTCGTTCCACAATTTTTGTGCTATTTCAACAAATCATATCAAAATGTTCAGCTCGTTCAGGACAATCCTGCTGTGACTTTTGGTATTGGTGCAACTTTAGCTTTTTGAAATATTTAACCTTTTCTGCCATTTTTTTCTCTCAGAAAATGAATCAACCTCATTTTCCATCGTTCAAATATTTAGATTTGTTTACAACCGTTTACTGCTCCTTTCACATTTTGTTCTGGTTCAGCTTCATTCAGCTTCCTTGTGCAAATTGTTAATTTTTTCAGCTACTTTCAGCTAATTTCAGCTGGGGGGGGGGGGGGGGGGGTGTTCAGCTCTTTTATGCTCCTTTCAGATTATTTCTGCTAACTAGAACATTTTTGTGCTTCTTCTAATTTCTTTCTGCTAATTTCAGCGTGTTCTGCTACTGTCACCTTATTTCTGCAAGTTTCAGCTATTTCTGTTATTTCAGCTACTATTTAGCCTGTTTTTAATGCTAATTTTAGCTTCTTTTTTTTTAGCTCATTCTACATTTTTGGCACTCATTGAAACTTTTATCAGCATAATTCAGCAAAAATGTGCTCTCCTCACTTCGTTCTGGTAATTTCAGCTTCTTTCTGCTTTTTAGATACTATTCAGCTGTTTGTGTTTTTTCCCCCAAATTTCTGCTTTTTTTAATATAATTTCCACTTTTCTGTGCTCATTTCTTGTTCTTTAAGCCTAATTGAGTGCTCTCTCCACTTTCTTCTGGTAAATTCTTTCTGCTTTTTCAGCTACTTTTCAGCTATTTTTTTTCTAATTTCAGTTTCTTTTTAGCTAATTTCCTAATTTTTGTGCTAATTTCTGCTTATTTAAACCACATTCAGCAAGTATGTGTTCTTTCTGCTTATTTCTGCAAACTTAGGCTTGTTCTTCCATTTCAGCTACATTTCAGCTACATTTCAGCTACATTCCAGCATGTTTATGGCTAATTTCAGCTGTTTTTCAGCAAGTTCTTCAGCAATAAGCATTCACATGCATTTTCGCAGGAAATGCATTTTCTCTAGTTTTTAGTTGTAATGGCCAGATTTGAGGTAAATTTTACTAAATATAGTGTATGATCTAGTTTGATTGGCTTTTATTCTTTATCTAGATTCAAATTTACACATTTTTATTGTTAACACTAAATCATAATCCTGGACTATTTTTATTCCTAAATAGAGTTTTTGAGTTTTCTGAAATATAACTATGTAGAGGATTATTCTAAAGACTGCAGATGCTATAGTCCTTTTTTTCACTGCTCAAAAGCTCCCTGCAAACATGTGACGTTTTAAAGGGTAATCCAGGCTAGGGGTTAGGGGTTGTAAATGGCTTTGAATCCAATCGGTATTGTAGGGAACTAAAACTCTGTGATACATCAATATTCTTTGAGGCTGCTGCACTTACGACTGAAACAGAGCGAGAAAAGCTCACTCCTGTTTACAAAAGTACATTCACCGATACAATTTTAAACGGCGGCTTGAAAACTGAAGTAAAAATTCACAAATATAAAATGATGAGGCTGATTTTCATCAAACTGCAAGCAGACAGCTCAGAGCTACTACAAGAGAATAACAGTCATGGTTTATTAAAAAGAATGATCATAAATTATTATCTCAGAAAATCATGCTTACTGTAGTTTACCACAGCCTGCAAGATGTAGTGTACCGCCCTCTCTTTATGCTGCTGTAGCTTACAAGTTTGTATCTGGGAGGGTTGTAATAATTACAAGATGTTACTGCAGTTTTGTTTATTGAAGCCCCGAGGGTTAAATATGTCAGACTGCTAATAGAAAAGCATTTATTGACTTGTTTTAGCAGGTCTAACCACATGAAAACCAGTTTAATCGTGCTGCGCTTAGGTTAGGAGTATAAAATGAGATTAATCGAGTGTCTGCAGGAAACTGAAACATTAAAAAGTGAATGTGAGTACAGTGATTGTGCTGACAGAGGGTGTCAGAGTTAATAAACCTAACATAAGAGAGAAGTGAACATATGCCAAATAAATCCTTTTACCTTGTAGCTCGCAACTGCTAGTCGAGATAGTCCATCAACGTATGGACCCAAAACTTTATGTTCCCTCACCCTCAAAGTCTGTCTCCCCCTGGACACAAAATAAGTTTAGAACATGGTAATTAAAACGGTCACTGATGGTAATTACTCCTGTTGCTACGCTTCAGCAGGACTAACACTATAGGCCTGGCTCTTTCTGATGCCTACTGCACACAGCTCACAGACTATTAGTCCATGGCTCTCTGACCTCAAGTCCAACTCACACTTGGTCTGAAAACTTCATCATTTGTAAATCCACAGCAAAAGCACATATGGCTGTCAGATGGTGTGCTTCTCTTTGGTTCATTTTACCAAGGTTAAAGGTCCTGACATAGCGAGAGTCAAAGGTTAGTGTCTAGGGCAGCAGACAGAGGCCTGCAGTCCTGATTTACTGCTGACCTGCTGGACATCAACTGTCCTCACTCAGTGACTGAAGAGCTGGATGCTAATCTTTTCATCCAGTGATCACTGCACATCACAGCTGCTGGCAGAAGACACCACAGTGCTCTCTCAGTGAATTACCTGGAGCTTACTGTATATTGAAGAGGTAAGATACATTTCCAAAATCAAAACAAAAAAAGACAGTGTGACATATTCATTATTAAGTTTACTGGTCTTATGTTTTTGATTTCCTGCTGCTGCTCTAATTACATTGACTGAATGATTTGGTTGTAAATGAACAAACTAATCACTTAAATAACACCAGCATCATTAAAAACACCACAATTTATAAACTCGACTATAAACTATTGATTTTTATTTGACTTAAGGAGACAAAATATATTTTTAAGATTGGGATTTACCAGAGCTAACATAGTACAGATATGATAAGACACTAAGAAAATTAATGTTCCATTTATTTGTGAAAGTGATAAAAGTATAGGTTTGTACCCTTTGGGGTCCAGCAGATCTCGAACCTTCTCGTTGTAAATCTCCATGTAGGATACCTCCACAGTGAAACTCTCCTCCTCCCGCTGTTCCTCCTTCGTTCGTTCAAACAAAGCGCTGCACAGGCGAGGAATCAGCCCCGGCTGGTCACCAGAACCCATCATGGTGTACGACTTTCCCGAACCTGAAACAAGCACATGCAAACACTGAGCAGACTGAGCGCAGCTGCTGTAATAAAACATTTTAAGAAAGTTTCTCTGCTACAGTTGGTGGTAAAAAGAATAAAAAACAAACTATTATTGTTGCTCGACATTTTAAAATTCAGAGTTTTGTCTTTTACAGGAGCTCTTATTTTACGTTATCAACCGTGGCAAACGACCTTGATATCAAGCTCCTTTTTGGGGACTGCCTATTAAAGCAGCCACCTATTATTATCCACCTGAAAAGGGTCTTACTCTTCCTTCAACTTCAATGTAGACTGAACAACATTGTGTACCTCCACAAATTTTATATCAAAACGACTGGCGAGCCACCGTGATGTGTGCTATTACTTTTATTGGCATTTCGAGTTACCATGGTGATGTAATTTGCAAAGAAAGACGCTATTTTTCTCATTGAAAAACTCTTGACAGAACTCTGAACAGCCTCTAACTCAGTGAGGTCACATGACCTAGAGGGAGAAGTCTGAACAAACACTGATTATCTTTTGAAGCCATTTTGGTTAAAGATGGCCTCCAAAGCTAATTTCAAATGGATATAACTCGGAGGTTTTTAGAGCTATTTAGTTGAAATTTGGCGTTTTGATAGCTGAGAGCAATCCCTAATTGACTGCTTGCAAATCAAAAATCCAAGATGGCCACCATAGCTTAAAATAAATTAAAAAAAAAAACTATATAACTTGATGATTTTTTTCTCATACTGAGCTGAAATTTGGTATTCTGAGAGTGAACCCAAACACATAGTACTGGCAAATTAACATTTTATAATGGTCGCAATGTGGCAGTCCCCATCAAAGTTTCTACAGGAACTTTCTAGTTCATTTTTCTCTCCCACAGACCCTGTGTTCATGAGCTTTAACTTTGTGGTTAAAATGTTGTAATGTTCAAATTGCAGGTACATGTTCATTTTCCTGAGAGAAAACCTTCAAGGTCTTGTTACAACACACTCACAGTGACAATATTCACAAGGCATTAACAAACAGTGCACTTCTCCTTTTGCTAAGGTTAAAACTGTGTAACAGAATAAACTCACAACAAATATTTTCATCAATTTGGCAACTAAATAGTGACAGGTCGAATTATAAATTACCAGTTTGTCCATAGGCAAAAATACAGGCATTGTAGCCCTGGAAGGCGTTGTGGAGAAGGCTTTCACCAAGGCACTGAAACACGACCTCCTGACCTGGAATGAAATGATATACACACAAAAAGTCATGAAACACAAGAATTATGCTAGTTATACTTTGAACTTCTCTAAGTTATGAGGTGAGGCATTGTTGCTAATGTAACAAGAAAAAAAAAACGCATCAACATTTCCTTTTAGGAACTAACCTGCAAATTTTTCCTTATCCGTTTCATCCATGGACCAGAAGCAATAATCGTAGGCAAAAACCTGAGAACATACAGAGGAAACAGTAGAAGTACAAAACTTACAGGAAGTCTGTCTACATTACAACAAAGCAGCAATCTCCAGGAGTAGAAAAAAATAATCTATGTTCATTATAAAGCAGCTGACATGGTAGAACAGAGACAGTTTTCCTGCTCATGTCAGCTGCACAGTGGGTTGATTCTCCTATAGCTCACCAATTTCAATAGAGGGCTTAAGTTTATGGCTTTTACACATTTTTATAAATAAATAAATCTTCTGAAATGGCACAAATTTTAGTTTATGTAGAGTCATCAGTATAACACAAGGGAGACTAGCATGTTGGTGACGTTCTATTACAGTTTTTGGTTACCATCAACCTATTCTCTTTTGTATAACATGAACTAGATCAGAAAAAAAAAAATCAGAAGGTAATGATAATGATGTTCCCTCAAAAATATCTACCACAAAGTTTCTGAAACCCTTATGTAAAAATTTAATTTTAAATAAATGGTAATAGGAAGAAGTAACCTAATGTTTGTGATCTAAGTAATAAAAATATTTGCTTTAATAAGTATTAAACTGAATAACCCTAGATATAACTATCATTTTATTACATTAAATTACTCAAGATGGAGAAATGATGGACGTTAAGTGTCATAGTGTTTGTACTGTAGTGTGTCAGTCAGTGTATCTTTACATGAACAGAAAAATAACCTGCAAATACAGACAACCAGTAAAGTGAAGTGGCCTAAAAACATACAAAATATTTCTGGGAACAAATAATAAATTTAAAAAAAAATTCACAAGACTTTTATGGTATTCATAGCCTTCCAAGTTATTCGTTTTATGGTTGCACACAGTCCTTTCATACAGCAGTGTCTTTGTTTTACACCGAGATGATTCATAATTATGGATCCAGCTCAGTTTTAAAATCGTCAACATGTGCTGGTGTATGCCGTTACCTTTGACTGATTCCTGATGATGTTGTGAAGGTCAAGGTCCATAGGAGCGCGTGGAAAGAAAAAAAAACATTTAGAGAACATTAATAAGGAATTCAGTGTGTTGGCCATTAAGAGCGAACATGTTCAGGGTACAGATGAGAGTCAGAAAAAGAAACGTAACCATAAATGAGATGTGCTAAAAGCAATTTTGGAACTATGATTAGAGAACTCGATTTGTTTTGAGTGGTCATTAATGGCACAAATGAGTCATTTCTATGTGTGTAAATATACTTTGTTTCCCTAAATTACATTTGCCATATGTCAAGTATGGCTATCAGAGGAGTTTATCAAAAATATTTAGTTGTTTTTAGAGTGTAATCTGTATTACCCTCAGAGCTAGGTGACTTATTTGAGGTATATCTGTGTGTGTTGTGAGAAGGGGTTGGCTCAGGGCTGATAAAATGCACAGCAGAATTGGATGATGGCATACAAAGGTTACTGGGTCGAGGTCACACAGAAGAGGACAAGCACATGTGGGGAAAACGCTTCTGAAGAAAGAGAAACAAACAAAAACAAACACTGCAACAATAACATTTATAAAGCAAAGTTCAAAGATTTTTTTAAGAAAATTAATCGTTAAAATACATTTTAAACAAATGCACGAGCTCACATACACTAGGCACATACTTGCAGAAACATTACAAGCATTTAGCTAACAGCATTGTCCTTAAAACACACACACAGAGTCAACATTATGTCGTTTACGCTGCATATGAGGAAATGTCAAAGCTGCAGGCCAGGGGCAATTTTATTGTTCAAAAGTATGAAAATTAACTACAGTTACTGCCAAAATAAAGAATAAACCTAGGCATTGACCTATATTGTACATTACAAAAAAAAAAAAAAGAGAGACCACAATTAGAAAATGAGTACTGTTACCTGAAATGCTTTTAGACATAGACGCTGATCCAAAAAGTGTAAATGTACTTGTATTCCATTTAAAACTGAGCCATTACAAAATAATTGTGTAGTTCAAAAGTACCATATCTAATCAGCTCTAGTTAGAGTAAAAGGTACTTATTTCACAAATCGCAACAGGCCAGGCAGGATGACTTCATATATATGTTTTCCCTTACGTTTTTAGGACAATTGAAGCAGTATAAACTTGTTCGTAGGCACATTCACGATCAAAATGTCAGTTTTCTGCTAACCTTTTAGATTCATATTCTAACACGTCTTACACAGCATTACTTAATCGATCAAAGCTACATTATTTGAAAAATCCCTAAACTAGATTGTTGAACCTAATAAATCTACAACTTTGTAAAGTTGAAGTGTGCAAAATACAGTACAAAGTGCTAATGTGGGCCTGTGACTTATATAGGAAAGAGCAGACATCATCTGATAACTGAACGTCTTCTCCTGATGCAAATTCAACAGACTGAAAACACTAAAAAGCTGCATTCATGCAGAATGCATAGGGCAGGGGTGCCCAATACGGCAATAGGTAATATCAGTAGATCGCACAGCGAAATAGATGTCAGACCTTTTTTAAAATGTATTAATTTTAAATGGACGTCAGCCTAACAATCCATCTTCACTATGCAAATCGTCACTTGATTGACATACAGCTTAGCCAATCTGAGACCGACCTCAGATTGATGACGCATAGGTCACCACGCATGCGCAAACAACGGCGCTCATGATTGACACACAGGGCAGCCAATCAGAGACCAGATCTTTTCTGACGCATAGGTCACCACGCATGCGCATTCAACCGCACTAAAAACAAACGAGTTGACTCGTAATAGCCTCCAGTTTATATCTAAACTCAAGAAAGTGCGTAAAATGAGTTGAGGAGCTGGACCAAGTAAGCAAAAAAAAAAATCTACTATTTCCATACGGAACGGGGGAGGACTTATTTTTTCTTCACAATGTCATATTCGAAGTTCGTTTCACCAGAGCAGCATTTTCGGACTATAGTCATAAATACTACGACACTGACTTCCTTCTGAAAAGCAAACTGAGATAAGAAAACAGTGAAGGAACTAAAATCCCAGTTATCAGGACAGCAGTCATTTTTCTTACAGCTGGCCAGCAGCGAAGCATCATTCCAGGTGAGTCACTTTAAGCACAAGAAGTCTTTTCAAGACGGAGAGATGGTAAAAGAGGCATTCGTTGAAGCAGCTGACTCGTTGTTCAGAGACTTTAAAAACAAACCAGAAATATTATCTTCATCAAAACGCTCCAGGTATCAAGAAATGCGGTTCAAGTTAAGAGCAGCTGCTGTCAGGGCTGAGTTTTCACTTTTCTTCTCAAGTTCTCAGGTTATTTTTCAAACATGAAGTTATTCTTGGCGTTTTCTGTTCCTTTGTGTGAAGAACAGAAGTTATTGCTGGGTTTAGTTTATTATTTTGTACGCGGACAGTAAAAATAAATTGTCACTTTTTTTTAAACAAACTTTTGGGTTTTATCATTTATGTTGCGTCCACAGTGAGCTGGGACTTATTCGTTCATTCAACCTTTATTTATCCAGGTTAGTCTCATTGAGTCACGAGGACTCATTTACAAGAGACTTGTTTTAGACTGACAACATATAAAGTACAGACAACAATAAACTGCAGTAAAATGCACTTAAAATAAAAGTAGTGTTATAAAACAATAAATCAAGGAGCAAAAGAAAGCATAGTAAAATACTAAAAACAAGAAGGTAAAACAAGAGTGTAAAACAAACAAAGCATACTAAATATGTTTATAAATATGTACATATTTTGTATTTTTATAGTAGGCAGATCACTTGGACTTGGTCATTTTAAAAGTAGCTTCCATGCTGAAAAAGGTGTGGGCACCCCTGGCATAGGGCATCATGTTTAACTGAACCAATTCAACTCATCACCATTTATTCTGTAACTGAAGATCAACACCGCAACCAAGAAAAAAAGCTGCATACCATTCGTCCTTGCTGTGTTAAAAGTCAAAATATGTTCATCTTAGAAACAGCGCTCTTTAACAGAATCAAAACTTGTCAAATTGTAGGGAATCACAAACACACTAATGAAAATGTGTTTGTGCATAAATTGATCACTGTAAGCCTCGAGGCCAAGGTTCTGTTGGAGTGGTTCATTCTTCCAAGTTGGGTCATGTTTAAACGTCTTGATGTGATTCTTCCCAACAGGCAAGTTCGTTGCTCCATTCTTATTCAAAAGTTGACATGGAAGTCATTTCTGTAGACGGTTACAATGCCTGAAGACACCACATCTCCTCCTTTGCTATACCCTTTTCCTCCTCATCTGTAAAAATAATGCCAGAGGTTTCCTCGGACAGCTTGACAGATACATCCTGTAATTAGGTCTGCAGATGGTAAAATTAGCTACTTCCTGGATATCTTTTTGTTGCACAGCAACAAGGACTGAACTGTACGATTGTACAACTGTACTGTTGTCTGAGTGTTGTTCCCCCTCCTCTACACTCTGCACCCTAACCACTGTGGTGAGCACATCACCCTATGCATCCTGTGTGAAAGTACCATAAAGCTCTAGAAAAACTGTGAATGAATGAACATGGCTTGCACAGTGAAGAGTTTTGAAGCGGTTTGAGTAACAGAAATAAACCGCATGCTCTGCAGGTAATTGCAAAATTGTTTGTCATTAAGAAGTGTGTACCTCTTCCTAATTTACAGTGCATCCAAGATCAAGGTCAAGTTGTGTCTTTATTGTCATTCACATCACATGTGGTACACGAGGTGGAACGAAACTATGTGCACAGGGTCCCAGTCCCAATTACATCCAAAAAGTATTCACAGCACTTCACTAATTCCACATTTTATGTTACAGCCTTATTCTAAATTGTATTAATTTCTTTCCTCAAAATTCTACACACAATACCCCATTATGACAATATGAAAAAAGACTGAGATTTTTGCAAATTTATTAAAAATAGAAAACTAAGAAATCACATTTACGTAAGTATTCACAGCCTTTGTCATGAAGCTCAAATTAGCTGCATCCCGTTTCTACTGACCATCCTTGAGATGTTTCTACAACTTAAATGGAGTTCAGCTGTGGTAAATTCAGTTGATTGGACTTCATTTGAAAGGCACACACCTGTCTATATAAGGTCCCACAGTTGACAGTGCATGTCAGAGCGCAAACACCAAGCATGAAGTCAAAGGAATTTTCCGCAGACCTTCGAGACCGGATTGTGTTGAGGCACAAATCTGGGGAAGGATACAGAAATTTTTCTGCTGCTTTGAAGGTCCCAATGAGCACAGTGGACTCCATCATTCGTAAATGGAAGAAGTTTGGAACCACCAGGACTCTTCCTAGAGTTGGGACGGCCATCTAAACTGAGCGATCGGTGGAGAAGGACCTTAGCCAGGGAGGTGGCCAGGAACCTGATGGTCACTCTGTCAGAGCTCCAGTATTCCTCTGTGGAGAGGAGAAGCTTCCAGAAGGACAACTATCTGTAGCAATCCACCAATCAGACCTCTGCATGGCAGAGTGGCCAGACGAAAGCCACTCCTTAATAAAAGACACATGGCAGCCCATCTGGAGTTTGACAAAAGGCACCTGAAGGACTCTCAGACCAGGAGAAACAAAATTCTCTGGTCTGATGAAACAAAGATTGAACTCTTTGCTGTGAACGTCATGTTTGGAGGAAACCAGGCACCGCTCATCACCAGCCCAATACCATCCCTACAGTGAAGCATGGTGGTGGCAGCATCATGCTATGGGGGTGTTTTTCAGCAACAGGAACTGGCAGACCGGGCAGGATAGAAGGAACAATGAATACAGTGATGTACAGAGACATCCTGGATGAAAACCTGCTCCAGAGCGCTCCTGACCTCATACTGGTGCAAAGTTTCATTTTTCAGCAGGACAACAACCCAAAGCACACGGCCAAGATCTCAAAGGTTTCAGGATCACTCCATGAATGTCCTGGAGTGGCCAAGTCAGAGTCCAGATCTGAATCTGATCGAACATCTCTGGAGATACAGTATCTGAAAATGGCTGCACAGACGTCTCCCATCCAACC